AGCTGGCTGGCTCTGAGGGCAACTTGGGCTAAAATCAGCGCATTTCTCCGATTTTAGCCCTTTGTGATGAAGTGGATTGTTGCCATTGCCAAAAAAGAACAGCTGTGGTCTGCATCACCAAGCAAGAGGCTAAGAATAACTTGCTCCTGGATGCTTGTACCAGTAGCCAGAGGGCAACTAATCAGTGAAGTGTTTATGCTTATCTAAAGGTCAGTGATTTTTGTTTTTGTGTTCCAGTAGGTCATGATAAATAACAATTGATTTTGAAGACATCTGGTGTGTAGTGTTGTTTCTCACACTGAAAGTGCCTCATTGAAGGGGTCATCTATTGTTCCAGTTCAAAGTCTGATTAATAATTTAATGTACAGAGACACAGGTGGAACAATTCATCTAAAGATGACAAATTAATGTCATGTCAGTATGGGTGGTAATTGTTGCGAAAAGGATGATTGCACCTCATCTTTCATATGTATTGATGTTTTTATACGGTGAGATCCTTATTTTGTAAAGGCCAAAAAAGTATTGTTGGGAGAATGAGATCATAGGGCCAGAAAGGACTGCAAGAGCCATCTAGTCCCTACCAGGAATACACAACTAAAAGGCCAAAAAGAAGTTCCATTCAACCACTGTTCACATTCTTCCGTAGAAGGAGACCACTACACTGTGAGGCAGCTTATTCCACTCTTGAGTAGCTAATCCTAATTATTCCTTTCCAATCATTTGAATCTATTAGTTAATGTTTTAGTTTCTAGAGCAATAGTGATAGCACAATTGCCATGGAATAGTGGCTTTGATAAAGTCCAGAGACTGGGGATGGGTCTGGTACATGTGAAGGCTTACCAGATATACATCTGAATAGGGCTTCACTAAGACAGAGGAATAAAAATTCAACAGAAATAAGCATTAGCCATTTTTGCTGGTTGAGTAACACATAGAATATTCATAGCTGGTTTTTCACCAAGCATACAGAACCAAAGTCAAGGTGAGTGACATCAATAAAAAGGTTATTTAAGAAGAATAGGTAAATAATGTAATTAAAAACCTTTTTCCACTGCTTTACCCTCCAGCTTATTTTGCACTATCCAAAAATAAATCTTAGAAATGTTTCTGTTCACCTAACATGCCAATGTAACATATTTTTGTTTATATATGTATGAATAAGCAAGCAACATAAATGGACGGTACTCAGACGTAACAAAAATATCAAGTCAATTCTGCCAGCAAAGTAGTTTAGTTTCCTGAAAAATGTTTCTCACAGTTCTTTGACACACTGATGTTCAGAAAAACAGTCTAGCATTGCGGTGAGATAATAATACTATCTCAAGGGACAGGAGAAGTGCCAATATCTATTTTGCAGGTAGGTAGGAAAACTCCTTCAAGTATTAGAATCTCAAGTGTGCATGAAGGATTCTTTAAGTAGGAAGTAGGAACAGAAGGTCTGGTTTCAAAGAGATGCTAAGGACCTCAGACGGAAAATCTAGCTAGCTGTGTGGCTGATGTATTTTAAAAATAGAATACATGTTGTCAGGGATTTTTAAAGTGGCCCAGTGTTAATATTATACATGTACTGCCTGAACACCTTGGTTAAACAGATTTCAGAATAATGCAGAGATAGCTCTTTTTCTAACCGAAGAACTTTGTAATAATTGGAATATATAAAAATTAACACATAACTATCTTTGTTTTACAATATCCCCACCTCATACCAGTAACAAGTTACAGGGGTAATGAATTGGCACAATGATAATATTTAGACATTGGTCAGCTACATCCCAAATGGAGAAACTTAACCTGACACTCAAAGGATGGCAATGTTGTGGCCAGGCAAGCTTTGTTAGGAGGGGCACTTCAAAAATATTCTTTCCCTTGTCACAATCTTCCAAGTTTCTCTCAAAGGAGGTGTTCAGATAGTCCAGTTCAAGTCTTTTCTGACATCGTGGCCCTAAGGAAAATCATAGAATCATTGAGTTGGAAGAGACCCCATGGGCCATTCAGTCCAACCCCTTGCCAAGAAGCAGGAAAACTGCCTTTAAATCACCCCCAACAGATGGCCATCCAGCCTTTGTTTAACCTGTCATGGACTTTTCTTAGCAACAGCTTTTCAGAGAAAAGAAGCAGGAGCATTGTTTAGATAGCACAGGATAAGAACAGAAGTTAATCATCTTTGCAGCCATGCTGGGCCTTTGAAAAAGGAGGCAAGCCAAGTTCTCTCCTATCATATGTAGAGTTCTCATATGTCAAAGCAGACCTGGCTGCAAATACCAACAAATAACAGACCTAGACAGGAAAGTTTCCAAATTTGCTGCAGAGATAAATGCCCCCATACTAGTTTCATCTCTGTACATGAAATTGACATAGAAGCTGCTCCAGATCAGTTGGAGCACTGCTAGGTTCCCCTGCACGAAATCTGAACCCTAAAACTTTTTTAAAAATGTAAGAGATAGAAAAAAAAGATATATACAGAGCAAAAGCTTCTTGGGAAAATTGGCAAAAGACTTTTGTTCACTGGCCATTTTAAAAATTAAAAGCAAGGCAGCATAGAAATCCATCAAATGTACACAATACAACAATAAAAACCAGTTTCACTGCCTTGAAAGGTCAAAGCAATATAACTCACAATATAATTACAGCCTAAAATTACACCCTAAGCAGCAATACAGGCCTATACATAGTCTTTTTCTGCTTAAAGGGGTAAAATGCCAGGCAAGCAGGTACAGGATGGTAGCCTAAAAATACCAGGCAGAAAGAAAGCCTTCCTTTCTGCTTGTAGCACGTTTCTATATCAAAGGAAAACATTCTGATTCTGATAAAGGTCAAATTCGGTTGCAGCAATTAACTTTTTAAATTTACATTTGGCACTTAGTAAAGTTATTTATTTATTTATTTATTATTGCACAGAACTTGGGAAAATTACTTAATACATTGTGATACAGAATCCAGAAATGCTTATGCTTTGGATCAATAGCCCCCACATGTAATTTTACAAAGCTCCACCAGTGTTCATATTTGGGCATACGAGTATTTGTGCCAAATTTGGTTCAGATCCATCATTGTTTGAGTCCACAGTGCTCTCTGGATGGAGGTGAACTACAACTCCATAACTCAAGGTCAATGCCCACCAAATCCTTCCAGTATTTACTGTAAGTCATGGGAGTTTTGTCTGCCAAGTTTGGTTCAATTTCATCATTGGTGAATTCCGGATACTCTTTCATTGTAGGTGAACTATAAAACCCAGCAACTACAACTCCCGAATGACAAAATCAACCCCCCGCACAACCCCACCAGTACTTAAATTTGGGTGTATCGGGTATTTGTGCCAAATTTGATCCAGTGAATGAAAATACATTCTGCATATCAGATATTTACGTTACAATTCATAACAGTAGTAAAATTATAGTTATGAAATAGCAACAAAAATAATTTTATGGTTGGGGAATCACCACAACATGGTGAACTGTATTAAGGGGACATGGCATTAGGAAGACTGAGAAACACTGTTTTAGAATAAAACCTTGAGGAGATGCACTGTCCAACACATTACCATCTCTGTACCTCTATATCACCTCAAACATGATGTAGACCTGTGTTTTTTTAACAACATCACCTTTCTGTACTTCCTTTAACATGTGTTTTTTTTTCACTTTCACAGAGGTCCTTGCCCCTAACCTCAGTGAACGTGGAAGACTCTCTTACAATGAATATACATTGAAATATATTTTCCCACTTTTCAAACCTTTTCCTGTTTGTTGGGTGGTATGGAACAGAGTACTCCGATAGTGCTTTAAGGGTTTCAGCATATATTGGCATTTCGGTGCGGCTGAGAGAAACCACGTGACGCTATGGCACAAGCGTAACAAAGTCCTTGGGATTGATAGTGGCCTATATTTTTGTTTTGTTTTATTTATTGTCATCCATTTAACATTAACATAAACACTGAAAGATTTAGGACTCAACGACATCCAAATGCCTCTGGCATTTTCTGCAAGCTGGCACATTCAATCTGAACCATTTCGGGAGTGATAACAGTTGCTTTGAAATTGACACGGTTCACACAGAAGCTGGTCTTCAAAGAGATGAACTGGCATTAAAAACAACAAGCACAACAATCCCTGCCTGGCTTTGAATTCATGGCAGGAACCATTCCATGAGGCATGCATTCCATGTTGTGAGATCATTTTGTACTTAATAAAATTAACATTAGCTACAGAAAATGGGATTTGAGGTGGCATTTCAGCCAAGGATTATTTGCCACGGCAGAAAGAGAGACCCACAGTGTACACATGCACAAATCCCCAAATTCCCGGCCTATTTTAAATCCTTAGCATGATTTTTATTAGCCTCCTAAACTGTGCTTGGCTCTGGATACATTGAAAAGATAGAAGGAACAACTGCAAATGAGAAAGAATTGACTGTTCATTTAACATAATCTTCCTCTGAAGTGTCTGCATTTTATTATTTCAGTGTGCTGATGCAGGACATCTTGTTGTGCTTATTTACTTACATCAGCTTGGATAATTCGTCAAACAGGTAAAAAGGACAAGGGGGGAAAGTGAAGAACTGCGTGGGATGCATATTTTTCAAGCAACCTGGGGAGTAAAACCCTATCAGAGCAATTTTTCAGGAGAAATTATTCATCCATCATTATTTCTGCAGAATTCAAACGTAGATAATGAAGATCTTGCACCCACAGAAATGGGCACAGGGGGGAAAGAGACCATTAACAGCTTCATCATAAGGATTAAAGTGCCACACACACAATGGAGGACCTTCTTACAGCGACACCAGAAGCACTCCAAGTGGCCAGCTTCTGGTCAAAGGATATTTAGCATAACACCAAATTCTTTTTTAAAAACTTTGTTTGTGTTTTTAAATGCATTTTAACTGTAACCTCAACTCTCTTCTGACACAATAAATATATAAATGCTCATCCTCTTGTCCCCATTGCCTTTCCAATGGACATAATTCATTTCTGAGAAGAAGAATAAGGTTGTCTGACTTACGATTGGCTGTCCTGCTTGGATCATTCTGGACACTGTCATTTGATTGGTTGCTGGAGATTGATGAGACGCTTGAGCTTCTGACAAAACCAAAGGCTGCCAGTTTAGCAGCTGGCAACCGAGAATAACCAGGAGGACGGAGTCCAGACGGGCAGGGTTTGGGAAGATTGGATTTCGTAGCACTTGGACTGGAGCCCTTTTTGAGATCAACTACAAAGGATAATAATAAAAAAAGAAGATATGTAACACTTTTAAAATGTAGGCATGCCATTGGGGGATTGATTATTTATTTACTTTATTAATACCCCACCCTTCTCACCCCGAAGGGGACTCAGAGCAGCTTTACAAACTGTGGCAAAAATTCACTGACACATCATGCACATAACATAAACATACCACATTAAATTATAAAACAATCAAAGCATATAAACAGTTAAAACATTAAACAATAAAACATATTAAGTGCTGAGTCATAATTTCCCAATTTCAAGTTTTCCCAAGGGCATTATCCAGACTGCAAGGTTAAAATCAAATTTTGTTACCCTATTCTCCAAATGCTTGGGCACAGAGCCAGGTATTTAGCTTTTTCCTGAAGACCAGGAGGAATGGGGCCAATCTAATGTCACTGGGGAGGGAGTTCCACAGCCGAGGGGCCTCACTAAGAAGGCCCTGTCTTTCGTCCCCACTAGTTGCACTTGTGAAGGGGGTGGAATCGAGAGCAGGGCCTCCCCAGCAGAAAACGTACCTTTTACATAGACAGTATATATTTTGGGAGTGCAGAAGATGCAATTGTTAGATCTAATTCTTTTGGACTTTTCAAATTTAGTTTTTAGAATTTACACACAAGCTTGGGAGAGCCAATAGTGCAGCGGTTTGTGTGTTGGACTGGCTCTGGAGACCAGGGTTCAAATCTTTGCCTGGCCAAATCACATCCTCTCAGAGGAAGGCAGTGACAACCTACCTCTGAACAAATCTTGCCAAATGTGTGATAGGTTCATCTCACAGTTGTCATAGGTCAGAAATCAACAGCATATCAACAAGTCCACTTGGATCATATACCATCATAAAGAAAGCATAAAATATAATAAAATAATAAATGGTCCCATTATTTATTTATTTATTTATTTATTTGCTTTACTTCTATACCGCCTTTCTCAGCCGGAATGGCGACTCAAGGCGGTTTACATAGTAAAGGTTATCACAACAATATCAAAAAAGGCAATTAAAACACATTATACAAGACATACTAGATCAAAAACAATCATTATCATAATCGTAGCGCCTCAGCAAACAAATCAGAATCAGCGTCTGTAATCATAATCCTTTATACCAATTCCTATGTTCGGTTGTACCATCTTCCTGTATTCCATTGCACTATTTAGCCAAATGCTTGTTCGTAAAGCCAAGTCTTGACCTTCCTCCGGAATGCCAGCAGTGAAGGGGCCTGTCTGATGTCCACAGGTAGGGCATTCCACAGCCGAGGGGCCACCAACGAGAAGGCCCTGTCTCTCGTCCCCGCCAAGCGCGCCTGCGATGCGGGCGGGACCGAGAGCAGGGCCTCCCCAGACTTAATGTCCTAGTCGGTTCATAGGAGGAGATGCGTTCGGAGAGGTAAGTAGGGCCAGAACCGTTTAGGGCTTTATAGGCTAAAGCCAGCACCTTGAATTGTGCCCGGTAGCAGATTGGCAGCCAGTGGAGCTGGCGCAGCAGAGGAGTGGTGTGCTCCCTTAGTGCCGCTCCTGTTAGCAACCTGGCTGCCGAACGTTGGACCATTTGAAGCTTCCGAGCAGTCTTCAAGGGCAACCCCATGTAGAGAGCGTTGCAGTAGTCTAAGCGGGATGTAACCAGAGCGTGGACTACCGTGGCCAAGTCAGACTTCCCAAGGTACGGGCGCAGCTGGCGCACGAGTTTTAACTGTGCGAATGCTCCCCTGGTCACCGCCGAAACCTGGGGTTCCAGGCTCAGCGATGAGTCCAGGGTCACACCCAAGCTGCGAACCTGCGTCTTCAGGGGGAGTGCGGCCCCATCCAACACAGGCTGTAACCCTATACCCTGTTCGGCCTTGCGACTGACCAGGAGTACCTCTGTCTTGTCTGGATTCAATTTCAATTTGTTCGCCCTCATCCAGACCGTCACAGCGGCCAAGCACCGGTTCAGGACCTGGACAGCCTCCTTAGTAGCAGGTGGAAAGGAGGGACAGAGTTGGACATCATCCGCGTACAGATGACACCGTACCCCGAAACTCCGGATGATCTCCCCCAGCGGCTTCATGTAGATGTTAAACAACATGGGAGACAGTATTGAGCCCTGAGGAACCCCACAAGACAAAGGTTGTGGGGTTGAACAGGTGTCTCCCAGTAACACCTTTGGTTTAAAATATAACTCCCATTATATTTTAAACCAATGGAAATACCTCGATATATTCCTTTAACATAATGATTTACACACTTGCTAAGAATATTTATTTATTTTATTATTATTATTTATGTAATGCCCACAAACATTGACTTTGGGATTAATATTTGGGCACATTATTAGATCAATCAAAAATAGTTAATTGTACGGGCCCAAGGCCATGACAAAAAGCACCATACGTGCACAATAGTACCCTCAGAGTACAGGCACCAAGGATGCTAAACAGAACCATGCTTTGCTCCCACAACAAAAACAATGGAAGTTAATAATAGTGATTGTGCAAAATTAAAGAAAACACAGGAGTTGAGAAGGGTGGGGTACAAATATTTATTTATTCATTTAAAGTATTTGTAACCCACCCTTCTCAACTCCTGTGTTTTCTTTAATTATGCACAATCACATGACACATCAGTAAAATATACAAGGAAGGTGGTGGGATGGGACATGGATTTCATTAGGCCTTTAGTTTGATTTCATCAGGCATATTTTATGGCCTTACTTGAAGCTTGGAAAATCATGATGGCTGGAAGATTCAGGAAGATGCAGGCCAAGAAAAGGTTCCAGGATCTATCTCAAGCTTTCATTTTAAGACTACTTTTTTCTAATTGTCCTAGCCGAGAACTAAATGTGAATGTATAAAACAAAGCAAAAAAAGGCATAAAGATTATATTGGTAAGAAAAGAAAAGAAAAGAAAATCAACCATCTTTGTATGGATTAGAATATTTTTTTAATTACGTATATAAATCGGTAAAAATTCATTTCAATTTATTTTTTGAAATCAGAATTTATCTGAATTCAAATGTGAAAAAAGTGAAATTGATAGGTTTGTCTACTCCTACATGGAAATGGGTAAATGTATGTGGCTCTCAGATATGGACATGTCTTTCCTATTACAGCAAAGCCATGGCTGTTTGGATCCTTAGGCATACCTATTCATGTCTATGGTGATGCTTCACCACAGCAAGCTTGGACCTTGAGATTCAAATGACTCCCTCACCTTCAAACAGCTGCAAATCTTGATGCAAGCTAGGATGTCTGCCACCTAGTGACCAAAGTTGGTGCTACATGTTTTAAATACATTAATGAATTTTATAAATCAAAACTCCAGATGCACACAGCATGTCAAATGTAGTAGTGTCCCTAAAATGTGACTACCAAGTTTCAAATGTCTACAATGTCCAGTTTTCAAAACAGGTCTATGACAGAGACACATAACTATGCATTGGTCAACACCCTATATGTGTGTCTTTCTTCACATACCACTGTCTGGTGGATATCAAGTTCTGTGAGTGGTCCCTATTATTGTCTCTAGTGAGGAATAAAGGAATATGTGATCCAGACCATAGAGAAGCTACTGGTCTCATCTTGGTCAGAAAAAGAATGAGGGTGTACATTGAGTGAGTCTGCATTTTCCTTCCTCCGGCATTGCAGAGCCGCCAGATCCTCATAGTCTGAATTAACTTCCCTCTCCACTCTCCCGCTGTCTGATAAGGAGGAATAGCAGAGAGGTGATGTTGCTTGATGTGGGATGTTTTTGGATTGAGCGTGAGATCAAGATAATCAAGATAAGAGGAGGATATACATGGGTGTATGCTGTATATATTATCACATGCAAGTAAGTAACAGGAAGTCAATCATTGCATTTTGTTATAATAGATGGAGTCATGGTAAATAATTGAAAATTGTGTTAACTATAAAAGGTAAAGGTAAAGGTTTCCCCTGACATTAAGTCTAATCGTGTCTGACTCTGTAGGGTGGTGCTCATCTCCGTTTCTAAGCCAAAGAGCCGGCATTGTCCATAGACTCCTCCTAGGTCATGTGGCCAGCATGATTGCATGGGAGCGCCATTATCTTCCCGCAAAAGTGGTACCTATTGATCAACTCGCATGATCTCAGGCTGCTCCCCGGATTCGAACCACCAACCTTTCAGTTAGCAAGTTCAGCAACTCAGTGGTTTAACCTGCTGCGCCACCAATTATTGAGAGTAAGAAAATCTAACTTCCAATATGGTAATGCAATATTGTAAAACAAACCCATGATACAACCACTCTTTGAACAGTGTGTACAATTCTTCTCATCCCACTTTTAAAAGGTTAGTGTAGAGCCCAATATAATTTTATATCAAAAGTGCAAGGAACATTTTCATATTAACATCTTTCTTTTGTGGGAAGATTAGTGTATTTGGTTTTTAAAACATATTTTAGAAAGAAAAAGCCAAGTAAGGGGCACATGATATAAATTTATGAAATTATGCATGGCACAGGGAAAATGGAAGGAAATCACTAGACTCCAGATCATCCGCTACAAATGAACAGAGGGAGATTCAGTTCATACAAAAGAGAATACTTCTTCACGCAGCATATCATTCAGCGGGGCAATTTGCTTCCACAGACTGTACTGATTAAAAGGGACAAGACATTCATGGAAGATAAGGCTCATGAATATCTACTAGTGCTGATGACTATACCAGAGCCCTCATGTCTCTGAATAACACAACAGTGAGATGGTACTATTTTGCTCATATCCTGCTACTAAGCTTTGCATAAGTGCCTGTTTGACTGTTATGGAAAAAGGATGGTGAACTGCATTGGCTTTGAATCTGATCCAGCAGAGCATAGGCTCTTATGCCCTTAACAATGAGACCTAAAGGGAATTAGAATAAGGGCATCACTTTTTTAAAAAAAGCACACAAAGAACAATTGATAATCTGAATTGCTTGGGATGGGAAATTTTGGAATTTCAGATTTTTCTAGATTTTGACATACCTTACTTGAATTTGCATAGACATCCATAG